TTTCAGCTCCTTTTTCAATTAAATTTGCAGCTGTAATGCCTCTAATTTACCAAAATTCTAAGTTGTCTAAACCTGAAAAAAGGGAAAAGCTGAGTTTCCTCAGTTTCAGTCGCCAGAGTAATGTACTCCAGAGCTAACCTGGTCGGTAGCAGGTTTGCTTCAGTAAACTCAGAGTGCCCTCTGCCTCCGCTCTTCTCACAGCCAATCATAGTGTTTCATTTCCTGATTTAGCGAGATTTTTCTCATAGTTTTGTGCTTTAAAAGAACAAAACAAAGGTCTGTTAGAAACATCAGGTTTTAAAAACAAACACTGCATGTAGAGGATCTTATTAAAGAATGATGCCACTTTTTCACAGACGATTAAATATCTATAGGGAGAAGATGCTACAACTCAGTTGACAGGGCAGGAGATTACTTGTTTTGTTTTTTTTTTATATATATGAGCGAGATGCAGATTTTTTATTGTCATTTTCATTTTATTATTATTTTTTTTTTTATTTTATTGTCATTACACTGTCAAAAGTACAGAGCAAGGAAATTTAACCCATCCCCTTGGGGAGCAGTGGGCTGCCATCGTGGGGAACCCAGGGAGCAGTGCGTTTGGGGTCTTGCTCAGGGGCCCAGAGTGGCAGTCTGGAAGCGCAATGCCCTAAGGCAGCCATGCCACTTAGGGACTTGCCTAAGGACCCACACTGGCATTACGTTCTCCCCAGCTGGGATACAAGCCCCGGCTTCCTGTTTGAAGCACGGGTGACTTACGGCTTAAGCTAGCTAACCGCTAACCTCTGTATTTAACCCATCTCCTTGGGGAGCGCAATGGGGTGCCATCGTGGGGCAGCCGGGGAGCAGTGTGGGGGTTTGGGGTCTTGTTCAGGGACCCAAAGTGAACTCAATGTCTTAACCACTAGGACACCAGTCCCCAAAGCAGGCATTAGCATGAAGGGTCTTGCCCAAGGGCCCACACTGGCCCAATTGCGATGCGAACCCAGGCTTCCTGTTCGCAGGACAGGTGACTTACCACTTGAACTAGCTAGTGGCCATTATTATTATGACAGAGTAATTACAGTAATATTTACAGTACATGAAGAACGACTGAAATTATTTTTAGTTTACACATATAGATTCATTAATTATATTAATTGATTCAGGAATTACCGTACTTTAGGGTTAGGATTAGGATTAAGTCGATGATTTTTTAAGACAGTCAGTAGGAAAGTTCAAAAGGTTTGTTAAAAGAAAACAAACAAAACTAAAGTGGAGCTGCTAGGGCCTGCGACTCTCGGATGCTGCAGGAGGATGGGGGGGGTTGTCACGAAAGGATATAATCCTGTAACATCCTTATATATACTAGTTTTACTGAATATTTAATTCAGTTAAATTATATAGCGCCAGTTTACAACACATGTCATCTCACTTTACAGTTCAACCAG